TCCCAGGTAGGCTAATAAAGAGCTGGCCCTCAGTAGGAGTCAAGGAAGAGGTGAACCTGTCTTGAGCAACAAAGGGAAGCAGGCTGGCCTGACCCTGACTGGGCCTGATCCACTGGGGAATTCACCCAAACAAGCCCCAGTGTGATGATCTAAAACTGCAGGGCTGGCTCTGCCCTTTAAGACGGAGGCAGCTCATTTTGAGCGTTATGAATAGATGGCAAATATTTATCACACCCCCCCGTCTTATTATGCTATTTTAACCCCCACCTCAGGAAGAAGTGCTTGTCAGCTGTTCTGCCTCAGGAGCCAAAATAGCTCGGTCAGTGATGGGCACTAACACACCTTGACCAGTGGGAAGGGAGTGGGTGCTGTTCTGTCTCAGGCAGTAGAATGTTTTCGGCTGGCCCTGCATGCAAAGGCAGGCAGCAGGGTCCTCCACACGCCCCTGGTAGAATCCCCTCTGCACAAAGAGACCAAGCACAAAGAGAAGCCAAGTTACAGGGAACCAGGCAGAGGGCCTTCTCGGTAGTGGCGCCCTCCCTGTGGACGCCCTCCCACCAGATGTCAAAGAGAACAACAACTACCAGTCTTTTAGAAGACAAGGCAGCCCTGTTTAGGGAAGCTTTTAGTGTTTGATGTATTGCAGTATTTTAATATTTTTTTGGAAGCCGCCCAGAGTGGCTGGGGAAGCCCAGCCAGATGGGCGGGGTATAAATAATAAATTATGATTATTATTATTATTATTATTAGGCATGGCCTGTTTTCATTTTTTACTCAGCTATGGACTAACATCTTCAAGGGGGTGCCTCTGTGAGGAAAGGTTGCAACATTTGGGGAGTTTTGGTTTAGAGGAAAGGCAAGTAAGAGGAGATATGATAGCACTTTTTGACGTTAATCAAGGTGTTGAGAAAGTGGGTAGTGGGATTTTTTTATACCTGTCTCATAACACTGGAATTCGGGGATGTTCAATGAACCTGAATGTTCAAGCATTCAGAACGGGCAAAAGAAAGTCCTTCGTGCAGCTTGTGGTTATACTGTGGAACTTCTTCCCACAGGACACAGTGATGGCCACCATCTTGGGCTGGATATAGACATAAAAAAAATGAAAACCTCAAAGTGGGAAATCACATTGGCGAAAGACAGAACTCCACTTGCGCCATCTGGTGTCACAGTGTTGTAATGCATATAAAATGCCTTTTCTTTACTAATGTAGCTGAGTCATTGAACAGCTTTAAAAGAGGATTGGGAAAATTAATGGAGGAGAGGCTGTCAGTCGCTACTAGTCAGGACGGCTGTGCTCTGTCCTCCATGGTCGGAAGCAGGTTGCCTCTGAATAGCAATTGCCGGGACTCACAAGTGGAGACAGGGCTGTTGTTGTTGTGTCCTGTTTGTGTGTTTCCCAGGGAGGCAACTGGCTGACCATTGTGAGAGCAGGATGCTAGACTAAATTGGCCTGATCCAGCCTCAGGGCTCTTATTAGGTTCTTATTAACTTTGAGCAGCAATGAACTGGGAAAACCAACCATAGGTTTCCTCCCCACCTCCCCAATTGCTCTAAGAGATGTGGGTTTTTTTTACAAGGGCCACAATAAATGCATCGGTAAACAATGTGTGTGTGTCTACATTATTGTCACTCTGTTTCCCTGAATTATTCTAAGCCTGTAAATAAACCGGCTGCTTAACATCTCCAGAGTGGTTTTGAAGTCTTTCGCTTGCTTCACATAAATATTGTATTTGCCTCCGGTGAGGAATTCTGACATGTATTTAAAATATATACATTAGTACAGGATATAAAATAGAAATTCTGAATGCCTGTTACTGTTTTTTTGTTTTAAAATTCATAATAGCAGCTTATTGAAACAAGTCAGCTCCACTCCAACTTGTCAGAATGGTTTTTTATAATTTCCTTGTTCTTTGAACTTTTCGCATTTAAGATAATGCCTCCTTTCTTCTTTGAATGCCCTTGTCTAAGATGCCAACTCGATGCAGGGAAATATATTGGGCGTCTTACTATTCCCTCCCACCCCACAGGTCATCTTCGTGGTTTTCCAGATTCCACCTCTCACAAAAGGTCTGTGGGAAGTCCAAACGCAGGGCCTGCGCGCAAGAGCATAGAAGCACAAGAGCAGCGTACTGGATCAGGCCAATGGCCCCCAGCATCCTGTTCCCACTCTGGCCACCCAGACACTCACTGGGAACTCCAACTCACTGGGAACTTTGAAAAGAGGCTCCAAGGGGAGAGAGCTCTCCCTCTTTGTGGTCTCCAGGAACTGGTATTCATTCAGAAGCACTGCCTCTGAATGCAGCCTCTGAATGCAGCCAGCATCGCATGCTCTCTTTCATTTCAAGACAAGACAACCACCAAGCCTGCAGACAAAACGCTTGCTGAGTTGCACGGCTGGCACGAGTGACGGCTGTCAGTCTGCTTCCAGGTCCCAAGATCACGGTGACGGCTGATGAGCAAGAATGGGTCCAAAGAGGCTGTGGCGTTTGGTGGGGGGGGAGCTGGGAACCTCAGCGCCACTGCCCTTGCTCCGCCATCTGCGCATGATGCTGCCTAACAATGACCCCTGAGAGCCGTTAAGCAACAAGAGTGGCAATAACACTTAAAGCAATGGGCCGCGATGGCTGGCAAGAGAATCTATTAGCGCGGCAATCACAGCTGCAAAAAAGCATATGCTCCCCCATGCGGGATGGACGCCAGGCTCGGTGGCCGGAAGCTGAGTGACTGAGGATTGCCAGGTCTGCACGGGGAAGAAGTGAAGATGAGAGCCAGTGTGGTGCAGTGGACAGAACGCTGGACTCGGACCCTGGAGTAAAATGTAAAGGGACCCCTGACCATTAGGTCCAGTTGTGACTGACTCTGGGGTTGCGGCACTCATCTCGCTTTATTGGCCGAGGGAGCCAGCATACAGCTTCCAGGTCATGTGGCCAGCATGACTAAGCTGCTTCTGGCAACCAGAGCAGCACACGGAAGTGCCATTTACCTTCCCGCTGGAGCGGTACCTATTTATCTACTTGCACTTTAACATGCTTTTGAATTGCTAGGTTGGCAGGAGCAGGGACTGAGCAACGGGAGCTCACCCCGTCACGGCGATTTGAACCGCTGACCTTCTGATCGGCAAGTCCTAAGTTCTGTGGTTTAATCCACAACGCCACCTGTGTCCCACGGACCCCGGAGACCAGTGTTCAAATCCCAACTTGCCCATGAAGCTCACTTTGGATGCCCTCAGGCCAGTCACTCACTCTCTCAGCCTAACCTGCCATAAAATGGGGAGAAGGAGAAGCACGTAGTTTCCTTTTTACAGTCATACCTCATGTTACGTCTGCTTCATGTTATGTTCTTTCAGGTTATGTCCTGTGACGACCTGGAAGTACCAGAAAGGGTTACTTCTGGGTTTCGCCACTCAGAAGACAAAATGACGTCACGCGCATACGCAGAAGCAGCAAATCAGAACGGATCCCGTTCGTAACCAGAGGTACCACTGTATATATAAAACTAACTCAAAGCAAGTAACACCAATAATTAAATAACGTTCACTAAACCCAGCATAAAGCAAAACACAGAAAAATATGAAGCCCAGTCCTATTTTTAAAAGGAAGGACTGAAGCGCCCCACCCACAGAAGGAGGCCAGAGATAATTAAGAGCCAAAGGCCTGGCGGAAAAGAAATGGTCCCTAGAGAGATGTAATGATGGGGCCAGGTGAGCCTCCATGGAGAGAGCATTCCACAAGTGGAGAGCCACCACGGAAAAGGCCCTCTCTCATGTTGCCTCCCTCTGGATCTCCCATGGAAAATGGTGATGGTCCGGGTCTGTTCATATCGGGAGAGGCAGTCCATATCACCCGCTTGCACAGATCTTATCAGTTCCATTGATGATCACCTGTCCTCTCTCTGACTGAGTTCCACTGTCTGCATCCATGCTGGCCAAAAAGGAATACATGCCCTGGGATGCATTTGAGGATGTTCTGGGGATCGTGAGCAAGTTATTGTAGCTGCACTTATGCCTAGCTTGTGGATTTCCCATAAGGGCACTTAGCTGTCTAGTGTAAGAAGAGAATGTTGGACCAGGCAGGCCTTTATCTGATACAGCAGGGCTCTTTTCATGTCTTTATGTTCAGAAAGCCACGGCACAAAGAAAGGCAATGATGGTGGCAGCTCCCAACTTACAGTACTTCCCTTGCAGACTCTCCCAAGTCCAACCCTGAGCTCAGCTCTCACCCCCTCTCTCTAGCAGCCAGGTGAGGTGGGTGGAGGAAACCCCTTATCCTGCAGGGCCCCATCACTTGGTAGTCGCTTTTGCAGCACAGGTTCTCCTTGGAGGCTGACGAGGACACTACAGAGGCCAGCCAAGGCCATGCCTTACAAAGAAACTTGTCTGACTAGTTCAGCAGTAGGATCCCCTCTTAGATTCCATCCCTCACTAGGTATGGGACTCCAATAAATGGAAGGGTCTCAGGGCATCATTCAAACTGACACACACAGAGCAAACCCACAACTGCAACTTCAGATTTGGTGCCCTGAACTAAATCTCTCTGCAGAGCCAGGCAAGGTTCTTTGCTTGTCTGCCACTGCCTTGGTTTAAGCAGAACGTGGCTCTGGCCACAGATGAGCTCTTGCACTTCTCACCAGGATGCAATATACTTTAAATAGCATCTGCATGACTGCCCCCCCCCCGCCCGCCCGTGGCTCTGTCCCCTCCCACTCTCCGCTCCCAGCAAGGCTGATCCACAAAGTAGCTCAAATGGCAGCTGTCACTGGTGAGGTGGCATGTTTCTTCAGTGATGCTGACAGCAGCTGTCCAGGAGGAGTATGAATGGAACGGGAATGACATCATGTTTATTCAGAAATGACATTCCCAGCTATGGATCAGTGTCAGCAATATTTTTGATGCGTTTGAGATGGAGAAAACACTTCCTGAGATACGTCCCTGATTTATCCCTTTTACAGCACGGAACACACACACAGCATAATTGAAGGAACTTTGGCAGGCAAAACAGGTCTGCCTCAGAGAGGAGGCTGGGTCTGAACATTCCTCCCTCATGCGCTAGTCTATGCGCAGGGAGTTAGTTGGTTTACTGGAAGGGGGGAGCATAACAAGAGCCTGCTGGATGAGGCCATTGGCCAGTTAGTCCAGCCTCCTCTTCTCACAGTGGCCAACCAGATGACCCAATGGGAAGCCCTAAAAGCAGGATCTGAGTACAGCGGAACTCTCATAGAATCATAGAATTGCAGAGTCCAAGGGGACCCAAAGGATCATTTAGTTTCAGTCCCTGCCAGCAGAAAAGGTGGAATATATATAACAACAACAACCACCCCTGCAATGAACTAGGGTAATTTACTCCAGCCCTGCTCAGCTGTGATTCCAAGCAACTGGCGTTCAGAGGCAGTCTGGTTGTGAAGACACAGTATAGACACCCAGGTAAGTAGCCATGGATCACCTCTGTGAATTGGCCACACTCCTCTTTTAAAGTCATCCAAATCCTTTGTTGTTGTTTAGTCGTTTAGTCGTGTCCGACTCTTCGTGACCCCCTGGACCAGAGCACGCCAGGCACTCCTGTCTTCCACTGCCTCCCGCAGTTTGGTCAGACTCATGTTTGTAGCTTCGAGAACACTGTCCAACCATCTCGTCCTCTGTCGTCCCCTTCTCCTTGTGCCCTCCATCTTTCCCCACATCAGGGTCTTTTCCAGGGAGTCTTCTCTTCTCATGAGGTGGCCAAAGTATTGGAGCCTCAGCTTCACGATCTGTCCTTCCAGTGAGCACTCAGGCCTGATTTCCTTAAGAATGGATACGTTTGATCTTCTTGCAGTCCATGGGACTCTCAAGAGTCTCCTCCAGCACCATAATTCAAAAGCATCAATTCTTTGGCGATCAGCCTTCTTTATGGTCCAGCTCTCACTTCCATACATCACTACTGGGAAAACCACGGACCTTTGTTGGCAAGGTGATGTCTCTGCTTTTTAAGATGCTGTCTAGGTTTGCCATCGCCTTTCTCCCAAGGAGCAGGCGTCTTTTAATTTCGTGACTCCATAGACAAAGACAACATCCAAATCCTAAAACATCCTAAAAAGTTCTAAACGTGTGTGTGGTTTTTTTAAAAAAAATAAATTGATATACTGTAATATCATCATTTTGGTCATCCTCCTCTCCTCCTGCCTGGAGGGGTGTCTGGAGCGCATGTGCAGAAACTACCCCACTGTGTAAAGGTAAAAATTTGCATTCCTTGCTCCACCCACTTTTGCCTCTGGCTCCACCCACCACTAGCATGCGATTCCTGGAAGCTTTCTTAGAAGAGAATATGGCTCTTGGCGTCACTCCCCTTGTAGACTCCCCTGGGGCACAATCTGTGATACTAGGATCAAAGAACTGTAGAGTTGGAAGGAATCCCAAGGGCCATCTAGTCCAACCTCCTGCAAGGCAAGAATCTCAGCCAAAGTATCTAGGATGGATGGCCATCTAACATTGCCTCGAGTCCTACCCTCCAGAGCAGGAGAAAACAAGCATGCTCCCTCTTCTATGTGACAGCCCTTAAGGTATTTGAAGATGGATATCCCTTCTCCTCTCAATCTTCTCTTTTCCAGGCTAAACATACGCAGCTCCTTCAACCATTCTTCATAAGGCCTTGTTTCCAGACCCCCTTTACACGTGTTCCAGTTTGTCCAATATCCTTCTTAGGGCTTGCCCACACTTCCACTTGTCCTATGCCTAGAAAGCAAGGGCCCAAGCGGTTTTCTGTTTGCCCTGCCATTTCCCCAGGAAAACTGATGGATGCTTGTTCTGATTCAATGGTAAAGAGAGGGTTTCCCCAGTGGAAAGTGGTGGGACAAGTGGAAGTGTCATCAAGCCTTAGAATGGTGCTGTCCAGAATTGGGCACAATATTCCAGGTGGGATCTGACACTAGACTTCTGTTGATGCAGCCTAGAATAAAAAGGTAAAGGGACCCCTGACCATTAGGTCCAGTCGTGGCTGACCCTGGGTTTGCGGCACTCATCTCACTTTATTGGCCAAGGGAGCCAGCATACAGCTTCCAGGTCATGTGGCCAGCATGACTAAGCCGCTTCTGGCGAACCAGAGCAGCGCACGGAAACGCCGTTTACCTTCCCGCCAGAGCAGTACCTATTTATCTACCTACACTTTGACATGCTTTTGAACTGCTAGGTTGGCAGGAGCAGGGACCGAGCAACGGGCGCTTACCCCGTCGCGGGGATTCGAACCACCGACCTTCTGATCGGCAAGTCCTAGGCTCTGTGGTTTAACCCACAGCACCACCCGCATCCCTGCAGCCTAGAACAGCATTTGCTTTTTTTGCTGCCGCACCGCACTTGACTCTTGTTAAGCTTGTGGTCCACTAAGACCCCTAAATCAAGCCAGGTGTCCCTCATCTTATATTTGTGCAGCTGGTTCTTCCTGCCTAAGTGCAGACCAAGGCATTTGTCCATATTGAAATTCATTTTGTTAGTGAAGAAATAAACACAGCCAAAGATCCCGGGTTGCCCCCTCCAGCCCCACCCCGAGTATTAATGCAAGGTCCTGCCCAAATGCACCATCTCAGATCCTGCAGCAGCTGCAAGCGTTGCTGCTACAGATGCCTTTGCCTGGTGGGCTTCTCCCTCCCTCCCTCCCTCCCTCCTGCGGGTTTCCACTCATGCTATCAGATTAAAGGGAGATATATTTAAGCCTGAGTTCAGCAGAAGGGCTTATTTAAATATAAACTCTGAGAAGTCGGCCAGCTCTCTGGCTCAAATTGCAGGTGATTTGACAAGTGGAAGTGGCTGACGGGGTCCGGATAGAGAGGGAGAGAAGTGCCAAGGAGCAATCCAAGTTCTGTGCTGGGGAAGACTGGATCCTGCAACCACTTTCAATTAATGCAAATATTCAGGTTGCCTCTTAGTCTGCGCAGTTGTGCAGTCTTCACAGTTCTGCATAATTTTCTTCATTTGTTCACTTTGGGCTGAGTTGTCAAGTGAGCGGCAAGAACCCAAGGCCAGCAGTTAAGGCAGCCAAGGTCCAGGGTGAGAGAAGACAGTCACCACCCAGGTGGCCTTCCTGATGAGGCGAGTCAATGGCCAGGCTGGGTGGGCAGAGTTAACTCCATTGCAACACCTGGGATCTCTTTGCTGCCCTGGGGAAGAGCTCTGACCTGGAATGCTGGTACTTCACTACACAAGGTGACTGTGGTGAAGAACTGTGGATGATTTCTTCCAGCTCCTGTCCCCATCCCTGTCCCAGTCCAAGACATTTTGCTGCCTGAGCCAGAACCTCAAATGCCCTCTCCCACCTATGTATGCTTAGGACAGCATTGTTTTAAAGTCTTGCCTGCACCATTCAGATATCTGTTCCTGTCTTCACCTATCTCTACAGCTTAGGAGCGTAAGATGGATCTTGCTGGACCAAGCTGAACTGAGCCCATCTAGTCCATCATCCAGTTGCCCACAGTTGCCAACCACATGGCCCCAATGGAAAGCACATGAGCAGGACATGGGAGGTGGTGGTGGTGGTGGTAGTAGTGGAATAGTTTGGGAAGGTGAGCCCTGCCCCTGCCTTTTTCTTTTTTTCTTTTTGCTTCTGAGGTTTCAGCTGGAGTTGCCCGCCCACTTACCTCCATGAGGACTGGAAACTTAAAACAGAGTGCATTCCTTGTGTGCAGAACAGCCTGCGTGATCCATCTTTGGCACCCCCAGATTAAAAGGAAGGAAAGAAGAGGTCAGATGATGGGAAGCAGCTTTCTCTGCACCAAAAAAGAGGGATTTTTGGCCCTTTGTTTCTGCTCTCTGTCTAACCAGGAACTTGTGGATTTCATGCAAGGCTGGGTAACAGCTGCCTTTTGCATTTTCAAAAATGAGAAGCAGCCATTGCTTCCAGAATCCAGCCTGATCCCTACAGCTCCAAACAGAGGCTGGAATCAGTCTGCTTCAACACCCAGTCTAATTCTTGCACTTATTTGCTTCCTATTTTTCCTTGTTTCCTCCTCCCCTCCCTCCTGATTTGCATAACATCCCAGCCTGAAAAGGCTTTGGAGAACTCAAAATCTCCACTTTCTGTTTTGTGACATTTTGGCTGGTCCAAAATGAAGGTGCTGCCCAGCGGTGGATTTTGGAGTTTTCTTTTCAATTTCTTTTTATTTTCAGTTATTTATATTAACATTATTTCCATGCACTCCAAACATTTTTCATATATACAGTACTGAGATTATACAAATCCCTCGGACTTCCCCCGCCCCCCCTCCGGTTTCCATATTTTACCCTCTTTTCTTGCATATAATTATATTTATCTATTCTATTTCATCTCATTATTTACTACTTTAGTTTCATTTTACTTCATAAATGCTATATCAATCCGGTTAATGTTTCTAAGTAACTACAGTACAGTGGTTTTTAAGGTATTCTACAAATTTTTCCCATTCTTGATTAATTTTTTTGTCACCTTGGTGTCTGATCCTCACGGTCATCTTTGCCATTTTGGCATAGTCCATCAGTTTGGTAATCCACTCTTCTTTTTTTGGGACCTTCTCTTCCTTCCACACCTGGGCAAATGTTGTCATATACACAAAGTCTTTTTAGGTCTCATGGTATTTCTTCTCCTGTTAAGCCTAGTAAAAAGGCTTCTGGGTTTTTTTAGTAAATGTTATCTTAAACATTTTTTCAATTCATTATATATCATTTCCCAGAAGCCCTTTACTACCTTACATGACCACCACATATGGTAAAAGGTACCCTCCCTATCCTTACATTTCCAGCATAACTTAGATGCATTTTTGTACATTTTTGTCAACTTTACTGGAGTCAAATACCAACTGTACATCACTTTCATATAGTTTTCCTTCAATGCACAACAAGCCGTAAATTTTAAATCCTCTTTCCACAACCTCTCCCATAAATTGGAGTTTTCTTCAAGATAGGGAAATGTATCTTGTGGCCTGGAGCTGGTAGCCCAAGGCAGCTCTTTGGCCCTGTTCCTCACTCCCTCTGGTGTTTCCATCGCAGGCTGATGTTGATGTGAATTAGGAAGGTGGATCTGTAGGACCTCGGAAGGAGACCCAACTGGATGAGACAGCTCCACGGGTGCTTCCAGTAGGGGGTTTGTTTTTACTGCATCCACGCAATATCATTGTCATCCAAATGCTAGACTGTTTTGCCCCCACTCCGCAAAATAATAATCATTCTTGGGGGTTCTAGTTATTTCATACAACCTATTGCCAGTGACCCCTTTGCAGGATGAAGCACTGGAAGCATTCTGTGACCTGGGGAAGGCAAATATGAAGGTTTCAGTTTCTATCAATTACTCATTTCTTCCTATCTTCAGTTCATTTCTCTGCATTTCCAAATCAGATTGTGCTTAAAAAAAACCCCTCACAAAATTAATCAGTGAATTTCTACACATATACACAAATCTGTATGTAATTTTGCCAAATGTACACATTTTGGTCAAGTATTTATGTTGTTGTTGTTGTTGTTGTTGTTGTTGTTGCATTTCTATCTTGCCTTTTTTTCCAGGGAGCTCAAGACTGCATGCAATGGTTCCCCCCACTCCTCACTTAATTCCCACAATAACCCTGTGAGGTAGGTTGGGCTGAGAGGCAGCGACTGGTCCCCAGGGGTCACAGGTCTAGAGCTCCATGGCCAGGTAGAGATTTGAACCCTGGTCTCCCAGGTCCTTGGCCATCCTGGCTTCAGTGGACTCTGCCTTAATAGGATTAAAAGCCATATACAGTGGTAAGGTAAAGGTAAAGGTACCCCTGCCCGTACGGGCCAGTCGTGTCCGACTCTGGGGTTGCGTGCTCATCTTGCTTAAGAGGCCGGGAGCCAGCGCTGTCCGGAGACACTTCCGGGCCACGTGACGAAGCTGCTCTGGCGAGCCAGCACCAGCGCAGCACACGGAAACGCCGTTTACCTTCCTGCTATAAAGCGGTACCTATTTATCTAGTTGCACTTAGGGGTGCTTTCGGACTGTTAGGTGGGCAGGAGCTGGGACCAAACAACGGGAGCTCACCCCGCCGCGGGGATTCGAACCGCCGACCATACGATTGGCAAGTCCTAGGCACTGAGGTTTTACCCACAGCGCCACCCGCGTCCCGCTATACAGTGGTACCTCAGGTTAAGTACTTAATTCGTTCCAGAGGTCTGTTCTTAACCTGAAACTGTTCTTAACCTGAAGCACCACTTTAGCTAATAGGGCCTCCCGCTGCTGCCGCACGATTTCTGTTCTCATCCTGAAGCAAAGTTCTTAACCCGAGGTAATATTTCTGGGTTAGCGGAGTCTGTAACCTGAAGCATATGTAACCTGAAGCGTATGTAACCCAAGGTACCACTGTATATAATATATTCTCTAATATATGCACATTACTTGGCCGGAGAACTGTTTTGCAAAATTCAGAAAAGTGTGAATTTCCAAAGACGGTTGTGTTTCGGTTTGCATATTGCTTAGGAAAGTGCAGATGAGGTAGGTCTGCCTCTAAATGCAAATGGAATCAGATTTGTCCCCAGCAACGCAGTGCAAAAAATGGAGAGCAAAAGCAAAGGCCCAGAACAGGCCCTTTTTCATCAGAGCACTGGAACCAGATAACCTTCCTCCTCCTCCTCACTCAGTCTCCCCCCCCCCCCCACATGCCAGGCCTTCTTGCCATGGCAAGACCCCCATCACCCTCTCATCCCTACCCCACCCCACCTCTCAGTTCATCCTTCCTGATCCAGTTGCTCCAAGGAGCTCAGCTTCGAATCCTCTGCTGTGCCACTGCTAGTGTTTGATGTTTTCACTAGACATTTTGACGTGTCGTTTCACAACTGAGGATACCAACATCTGTCACTGCCGGAAAAAAGCAGAAACAAGTTTTGACATTTTCAATATTTCAGTACAAAAAGTGTTTTCCTTTTCTTTCATTGCTTTTTTTGGGTATTTTTTGGGGGGTGGGGGTGGGAATCAAAATGTAAATACAATGTCATTTTGAAAAGCTGCAAAGTGGGAGAGAGGGGAGATTTGAACAGTTTTCAGCTTGGCAATTGCATCAATAACAGAACCAAGTTGCAGGGGGGCACCATGGACAGGAGAGACAGGTATCTGTCCATATTGCAACAATTCCACACGACTCACATTCATTTTTCTGCACCCCAGTTTAATGTGCTAATTCTGGCCTTTAAAGCCGTAAGAACATGGGTAGGCAAACTAAGGCCCGGGGGCCGGATCCAGCCCAATCGCCTTCTTAATCCAGCCCACGGACAGTCCAGGAATCAGTGTGCTTTTACATGAGTAGAATGTGCCCTTTTATTTAAAATGCATCTCTGGGTTATTTGTGGGGCATAGGAATTCATTCCTATCCCCCCCCCAATATAGTCTGGCCCACCACAAGGTCTGAGGGACGGTGGACTGGTCCCCTGCTGAAAAAGTTTGCTGACCCCTGCATAAGAACCTAAGAAGAGCCCTGCTGGATCAGGCCAAAGGGGGCCCATCCAGTCCAACATCCCATTCTCATGGCAGCCAACCAGATGCCTGGGGGAAACCTGCAAGCAAGAGCCACACCCCCCTTTTCCCAGTTTCCAGCAACTGGCATTAAGAAGCATTCCTGCCTCCAACTGTGGAGGCAGAGCAGAGTCAGTGTGGCAAGTAGCTGTTGACAGCCCTCTCTATGAATTTGTCCAATCCTCTTTTGAAGCCATCTAAGTGGGTGGCCTTTCCTGCTTCCAGTGAGAGCGAGTTCCATGGTTCAACTGTGGTCTGCATGAATAAGGACTTCCTTTTATGTGTCCTGGGACATGGGTGGCGCTGTGGTCTACACCACTGAGCCTAGGGCTTGCAGATCAGAAGGTTGGCGGTTCGAATCCCCGCGACGGGGTGAGCTCCTGTTGCTCGGTCCCTGCTCCTGCCAACTTAGCAGTTCGAAAGCACGAAGTGCAAGTAGATAAATAGGTACTGCTCTCGCGGGAAGGTAAACGGCGTTTTCGTGAGCTGCTCTGGTTCGCCAGAAGCGGCTTAGTCATGCTGGCCACATGACCCAGAAGCTGTCTGCAGACAAACACCGGCTCCCTTGGCCTATAGAGCGAGATAAGCGTGCAACCCCAGAGTCATCTGCGACTGGACCTAATGGTCAGGGGTCCCTTTACCTTTATGTGTCCTGAACCCTGCAACATTCAGCTTCATTGGATGCCCATGAGGTCTAGTGCAGGGGTCCCCAAACTAAGGCCTGCGGACTGGATAAAGCCCGAGGGACTCATTTATCCAGCCCGCGGTGCCCCCGCCCGCTGCCGCCACCTGCTCTCACTGGTGCTGCGCCGCACGGCTGCCCACTTCCAGGTCAGAGGAGCATCAGAAATAGCTTGTGCGCATGTGCAAGCATTGTTTCCGGTGCAAATCTGGGTCGGAGGAGGCCCATGCACATGCGCACAAGCTATTTCCGTTGCTCCTCTGACCCGGAAGTGTGCCAGAAATAGCATGTCCACATACATATGGGCACTTGCTCCCCCGCCCTCCGGTTCACCGCGCGATCGGCGCTGGAGACACCGGCCCAAGACGCAGTAAGTATGCTGACCCCTGGTCTAGTGTTGCAGAAGAGAGGAAGAGGAGCTTTTCCCCATTCGCTTTCTCCGTGCATAATTTCACACGCAACAATATAAGAAGAGCCCTGCTGGGTGACACCAGCATTCTGCTCACACCATCAGCAATCCAGGTGCCTCTGGGAAGCCCAGGGTGGGAGCAGAGTGGCCACTCACTCTCATTCCTCACTAGAAGGTCTGTGAGGGTCTTGTCTGAAGTGCTGCCTGCACCCAAATGTACCTCCCTGAGTCTTGAGTTCTGCTTCAGGGGCCCTGAATTTTGGGTCACCAGTGAAAGGTGTTAGGCTGGTGAGTACCCATTGTTCAGGTCCTTTTCAGTGGTGACCTCTCACCTCTGATCCACCTGTCCTAGGGAAATATGTCTGGCCCTATCATTGCTGGTCTTCAGAGGACCTAGAAAGCTGTTTTTATACCCAACTCAGCAGTATATCTTCAAGCAGTGCACAAATGGAAATGGAGGCTTCAGCAGGAGACAATGTTGGCCACCAACTTGGTTGGCGTTAAAAGAGAATTGGACAAATTCATGGAGGAGGAGGAGGAGGAGGAGGAGGAGGAGGAAGAGGAGGAGAGGGCTATCAATGGCATGTGACGTCCATGCTCTGCAATGTTTCTGAAAACCATAGGAGGGAAGAGCGCTTTTGTGCTCAAATCCCGCTTGCAGGTTTCCCATTGAGGAAGCGATTCTCAAACTTTTTTTCTCTGGGCCACACTTTCAGAATAAAAATTTGCTCGTGCTACATTGAATTTTTTTATTGATAACATACATGGTGGAAAACAAAAAGAAACAACTCCTAGCTGTGCTTCATTTTGAGAAGATATTTATCCATATTAAGCAAATGATAAAATTTATTTTGATACGATACAATACTATACTACACTGAGGTGTTTAAATGTTTCTTTGGTTGTCCTTGAATCTTCCTGCCACACTTGCCATCTTCTCCTGACACATCAGTGTGGCAGGTCTCACATCCTTTGAGAGCCACTGCAAAGAGGCATCTGGCTGGCCCTGTGAGAGCACAAGGCTGGGCTAGATGGGCCTTGATCCAGCAGCCAGGCTCTTCTTATCCTCTTACACTCCTTAATGTTGATGTTAAAAATGAATTAAAAAATGCTGCTTATAAAATTAGTGGAGGGGGTTATAAACAACAACAACATGCTTATGTTGCATGTGTTAAACCTTTGCAAACCTCACTGGGAGGACAGTCTGCCCTGGAAGATGGGTTTGAACTATTTTAAATATGGAACTGTATCTATCAATGCCAGCTGAAAATGGCCAAAGGCTTTGTCTTAAGGTGAAAACCTTCAAGCAGATGGGCGGGGTATAAATAAATTGTTGTTGTTGTTGTTGTTGTTGTTGTTCTTCTTCTTCTTCTTCTTCTTCTTCTTCTTCCTCTTCCTCTTCCTCTTCCTCTTCCTCTTCCTCTTCCTCTTCCTCTTCCTCTTCTTCTTCCAGCCAGCCCAGTTGGGAGTTGTAATCCAAAACATCTGGAGGGCACCATGTTGTGTTAAATTGGTCTGGATTGACCTTAACCTGATCTGAAAAGGCCTTTCTTACACTTGCCTGTTGATAAGCGCCTGCTTCCTTCTGTTCCTCAGTTGTTTTGGCTCACCCATGAAAGGACTCGTGTTCTCTCCTTTCTGACCTGCCTCAAATATTTCTTAAAACAAACGAAAAGTTGACTTCACAGCTCCGTGCTAAACATTTTATACACTTAATCTGTAAGTCAGCCCCACATGCACCCGTCCCAACAGCTCGCCATGATCTGCGAAGTTCCACAGATCTTGTTTATAACACGTTCGTCTAAAATTATCTCCAGGCACACGGCATCCTCCTATAGAACAGATGCTCTGAAGTCTCTCCCCCCCCCCAGTTCTGTTTTGATCTCAAATCGGCGTGTTTAAGCTGCTTGTGTGAACTATAAATTGAAATGGAGATGGAGGGGAAGGGAAGGGAAATGTTGTGATGTGCGCCATGTCGCTCTGTCGGCTTCCTTCAGATGTTGCTTCTTGATGAAGGGAGACTGGCGCCATCTGCACTCATTGCCCAGGGGTACATTATCATTGCCTGTGTTTGTTGAGAAAGGGTTTGGGGAGAGCAAGAAGGGGGTAGGCCCCTAGGGAGCTCTTTAGAGCTGCTGGTGGAAGACGGAGTAGATGGGTCTCGGAGCAAATTAGAGTCCCCAACACAATGCACACCCACCCACACATCATAGAACCACAGAATCGATGCAGGAATCACAGCTTAAGAATCCCTTACAGAGGACCAACCTCCAAGGAAGGGAAGTCCATCACCTTCTGTGGGAGTCTGTTCCACTACTGGACAGCTCTTACCGCCAGAAACTTCTTCCTAAGGTTTAGGGCCTTGCTTGCAATTTGAATCCATTGGTTCAGGTCCTGCTCTCTGGGGCAGAAGAAAACAAGCTTGCTCTATCTTCCATGGAACGACCCTTCAGGTGTTAGAAGATGGCTGATGTATCTTCTCCAGTTTTCTATTCTCCAGGCTAAACATGTTCAGCTCCCTCAACTGTTCCTCTTGAAGCTTAGTTTGCAATGGAGTGGTGAGGGTTCTTCATGTAGAGAACCACTTCCCTCCAGGAGGAAAAACAAACTATAAACTTTGCAGATGAATGGACTAAAACAGGGGTCAGAAAACTTTTTTGGGAGGGGGCCGGTTCACTGTCCCCCAGTCCTTTTTGCAGGCCGGACTGCACACGTGCGCATGTGTGTGTACACACACACAACGGAGGGGGCTTCTCTCTCCCCCACCTCTCTCAGCCCTCCCCTCCCCCTGCCTACCTTCTCCGCCCCTCTGCCTGCGGTTGGGAGCCGGCGGTGGTGGCAGCGCCACTCCTTTCTGTGCCAGCTTTCCCCAGTGGGCAGCGTGGCTTCCTATTAAAGCCCAACCCCCTTCCTCCATAGGGCAGGGAGAAGCCAGGAAGAGGGAGGGAGGAGGGAGAAGGGAGGCACCGGTGCCGCGGTGTGTGTGTGTGGTGGTGGTGGGGGAATCACAGGGGGAAATGGTGCCCAATTTTTTTTTTTTTAAAAAATGGTGATTGTGCCAATCCAGGTGGCGACTCCAGAACTGTCCATGGGCTGGATCCAGAGGGCAATTGGACCTGATCCGGCCCACAGGCCTTAGTTTGCCGACCCCTGGACTAAAATGTGTTTCACCATATAAAATGCGAAGTCTGACAACACTGGAGATGTTGATGGTTAGTGAGCGTTCTTGAATCCCATCCCAGCTCAACTCACACTTGTGTCTTTCCTTTAGCTGAAGCCCTAGAGGCCTTGCTCAAAGGACAGCAGGAGTTTTTGACTCTTGCATCGTTTGGCGTTGGTGAAGAGACAATGACAATCCTTCTGTGAACCATTCAGTGGAACTGCCTTTCTGTCGCCTCCCAGCTCCCGCCCTCGCAGTGGGTGATGTTGAGTCCCTGAACTGGTGCTGCAAGGTGCAGGCAGACATCACGAAACAAGCCAACAATCCTGTAGGCTGCTCTGCTTCCGGCTTTCCCCAGAGTGGGACCATCCCTTGGGGGCAGGAGAACTGTGCCTCCTCCTTTCCGCTGGCTCTTGTTTAATTAGCACCTGGCTGAGGCTGCCACGGCGTGTCACGTGGTCCCTTTGCCGCCCCTCCCCCTCCCTCGCTTTATTATTTCCTACTTTGGTTTGATGTCGTTGGTATATAAAACGTTAAGAGCTCTACATTTCTTCTTTTAAAGGCCCTAAAGGGAGCCTTGCTTTTTTCGTGTTAAAGTCATTACGGCAAACACCTGTGCACTGTTGGGTTTAATTGGGCTACAGCTGCCGGGGAAGGGACGGGGGATTTGCCACATTGATCGAGCTGTCTGTCTCAGCTTCGCCAACACACTCGCACCTCTTTGGCCACGGAGGACGAACTGGAGGGGAATCCACAACCCGCCACGTGTGGGCACCTGCCACCAGAAAGCAGGACGAGTGAAGCCCTGACCGTCAGCTGCGCCAGGCAGATGCTAGCTGGCCAAGGAGGTCCAGGCTGCCATTGCGGGTGGCCGGACAGCCTAGGAGAGGGAGGTGCAAAGCTCAGGGAGGTTTTTAAGGGAGTGACTGAGGGGGCTATTGGGGGCAGAGACTTGGGCTGCGGTGCCAAGCAGGAGGGAGACGAAGGCAGAGGCTTCTATGCCCAGGCAAAGCAAGAGAGTGAGCCTGGCTGACAGCGCAGATCATAAAGGGAGAAGGGCCCTTTTGCATTACACCAAGGGGAGCCCATCTTGCTCACCATTCTGTTCTCACAGCGGCAAGCCAGAAGCCTGTAGGAAGCCGCAAAGCGCAACCTGAGTGCAAGAGTATAAGAGCATAAGGCATAAGGATCAGGCCAATAGCCCGGCGTCCTGTTCTCACAGCCAAATGCCCTTCTGGGAAGCCTGCAAGCTGGACACGAGAACAGCAGCACTCTGCCCACCTGAGATTCCCAGCAAGGATACCTCTGACAGCGGATGCAGAATATAGCCGTGCTGCCTAGTAGCCATTGATAGCCCTTGTCTTTCATGAATTTGCCCAGTCCTCTTTTTTATTTTTTATTTTTATTTTTTCAATGATATTTATTAAATTTCATACAAAGACTTAACATAACAAAGAAAGAAAAAGCAATAATACAAAATAAGAAAAAAAGAAAATGAAGAAATTAAAGTATTACAAACCCCACATATACCACCACATACATAAATAAGACTTAATTAAGTGATTAAACTCCAACTTCATAAACATATTACTTGACTTCCTCTAATCTCTTCCAACTGAATTTCCTTGTAATTGAATTTAGCAGTTTCCAATATCATTATTCCATATAACAATATTCCAGTTATAATCAAATGTCCTAACTTTTCTTATCCTACTATTTCTTATTTATTTATTTGATCCTGATTTAATCCTAGGCCTGATTAGTTCTTTCAAGTAATTACAAATCTTTAATATTACAATATTTATTCAAATAGTCTTTAAATTTCTTCCAGTCTTCTTGATATTCCTCTTCTTTCTGGTCGTGGATTCTCCCGGTGAGATCAGCTAGCTCCATAAAGTCCATCATCTTCATCTGCCATTCTTCTACCGTTGCTAATCCTCTTTTTTTAAGCCAACAAAGTTGGTGACCATTGCTGCCTCCTGTGGGAGGGAGATCCACAGTTTAACGGTGCGTTACTTGTAACTATGCTCTGAATCCCATAGCTCTGAATCCCATGCTGTGTGAAGAAGTTTGTCTTGAACGCCACAACATTCGCCTTCACCAAACGACTCCAAGTTCTCTTTTCATGAGACAAGGAGAAAACCCACCATTTGCTTTCTCCACATCATGCAAAATTTCATACAACTCACTCATGTCTCCCCTTCTTCCCAAATTGAAAAGCTCCGTATATTTAAACTTTTCCTAGTAGTGGGAGGGGGAGGATTATTCCAATTCCTTCATCATTTTTGTGGTTCTTTTTGCAGCCAAAATAATAACAGCAGCAACAGATCAGCAGGTTATCAATCGTAATTAGTTACTTACTGCTTGGCCTCACCTTTGCCTGCCTTCATCCCCAGGTGCTCACGTTGCTGTTACCTATTGTTGACCTCTGCCGGTCTAGCCAGAATGGCCCAGATGGCGCCTGGAGTTCAAATGCACCAAAAGAAACTGCACTGCACACTGAATCCCTTTGGGAGGAGAACTCTTCGCCCTGGGACAGAATCACACCAAGACTCTGAGTTCAGGAAAACAAGGAGGCAACGTTGACTGCAGGAAGCACATGCTCCACAGGTCAGATGTTAGTCAGGGGGGCTGAGGCAGTGGAACCCCCAGAGGCAGCACTCCTGTCGGGTGTCAGTCCCTGGCGAAGAAGTGGTGGTGGTAGCAGCTTCTGGAGACACCTCAGGAAATCTTGCTGATATCTCATGAGATCTGGCCGGAACTCACTGTTGACATTGCCTTTCATGGGCACCACCAGGCAGCCCAGGTAAGGAAGGCTTCAGCAAGGGTAGGGCAGGGGGGCAATATTGGAAGGGTGGGGATGCGCCGCCCCTCCCTATGTGCCTTGGGAATCCACAACCTTGCCACCAAATCCGTTTACAATCTCTAAATGGGACCTCTAAGTTGAGAGCTCCAAACTGCCTCTCCCTCCCTTTTGAAATAAGATGAAACAAGTGAGACTTCAACAAAACGTTGCAGGTCTCCACTTTGTTTGTTTATTATTTCAGTTCTGCTTGAGGTTCCAGGGCGGAGAACATAGATATGTTAAAATGGGGCTTGCCAATGCGCTCCCCACAGAGGCCTTTCTTGGCACCAGCAGGGGTTTCCTGCAAAGCATGAAGAGCAAGAGGACATGACTGCAGATGCTCACGTATGTGAAGAGCCACCTGTGGTGCCCTCAGTGGCAAACCCTGGTTTTGCCAGGTGCATAAGGTGCAAAAAGGCTCACCAATAATCCATTTCTCTGCAGCATTTAGCGCTGCATTCTCTTTTGGGTCTCATTTGTTTCATTTCCCAATATGATCACATCATATGTGCATTTAACTTGCACAGTTTCAACCTGCACACTTGCAGGTGGTCTGGCTGAAGTTGCACAAGTCCAAGCACAGAGCAGAAAGTTCTTTTTAAAAGACCTTGGAGTTACCCAGTGTGGAAAGGCCTTTAAAGATATCTGTCTTCCTTACAGGGCAAGACCCACTCACTGTATGGGCTCTGGGGTGATCTTGTGGGGCCACCTGAGATCTTGCATGAACATTCCCAGCTTTCCAGCACCAGAGCAGACCTTGTCCCCTAAGCAAGGCAGAGATCTCAAAAGCTCTTTTATCCTGAGTCTGCTTGGGTTATCCAGTGCAAAAAGAGCTTTTAAGCTCCCCTCCTTCAGGCCTATTCAGTACAGAGGCTCTGGGGATAAAGGGATTCTTCCTCTGTCCCCCTCACCCTCTAGCCACAGGGTGACTCCAGGGGTTTTGGCACACACCACTGGTTCCCAATTACCTAATTACTGAGGACCCCTTATTTTTCAAACACCAAGCCATGGACCCCCCCCCACCTTTGCAAAATGGTGATAACTCTATGGTAGTTATCTCTGCAAAGCAATTTCATGAACAAAATGTGAGGTAGCCCCTGATGAACAAAGGATTTCAGGTATACTAAAAAACAGACTAGGGCTGAGCAATATCTGGTTTTCAACATCATGATATATCAGCAGCTGAACACCATGATATTCTGATATATATATTTATTCTGTGAACCACCCTGTGACCCCCGGGTATAGGGCAGTATTATAATAATAATAATAATAATAATAATAATAATAATAATACCACGATGTCTCAAACTGGAGATCAGGCGTGGGGATGAGGGAAGGAACAGCCAGGGGATTGGATGGGAAGCAGGAGGAAGTGAGGGGGAGGGGAGGGGGAGGGGGAGGGAAGGGGGAGGGGAGGGGGGGCATCAGCAGAGCAGCCCACAAAGATGCACATCCACTGTGGCTGCTGTTGCTGCTTTCCTGCTGACTGAGAAAAGCTGCTCTGCTTCCTTGCCAGGGGAAGGCAGGGCTACAGGGCCTTGAAGGGAGGACAGTCAGCTGCCCGGTCCCCCTCAGCATGAGGGAAGGCAGCGCCTCACAATGGGCTGCCCTGGTCTCCCTCAGCGTGAGGGAAGGCAGCTCAGATCAGTAGCATTATTGGTTGAGATCATCATGTCACGCTGCCTTGAAATCAGCCTGCTCTCCCTCGAGGGAGGAGTGAGATATTGCTGCATATTGCTGGGTTAAAATTGTTATCGCAGTGTGATTTCAAACCGATTTTGCCCAAAATGATGATGATGATGATGATGATGATAATAATAATAATAATATTTATACCCCACCCATCTTGTTGGGTTTCCCCAGCCACTCTGGGTTTCTTTCAACAGAACATTAAAAACAGAAACATTAAAAACATTAAAAACTTCCCTAAACAGGACTGCCTTCAGATGTCTTCTAAAAGTCAGATAGTTGTTTATTTCCTTGACATCTGATGAGAGGGTGTTCCACAGGGCGGGTGCCACTACCGAGAAGGCCATCTGCCTGGTTCCCTGTAACCTTACTGTAACCTCTCGCAGTAAGGGAGCTGCCAGAGGGGCCTCAGAGCTGGACCACAGTATCTGGGCGGTGGAGACACTTCTTCAGGTATACTGGGCCAAGGTCATTTAGGGCTTTAAAGGTCAGAACCAACACTTTGAATTGTGCTTGGGAATGTACTGGGACCTGATCTAGGTCCTTCAGGACCGCTGTTATGTGGTCTCGGCAGCCACTCCCAGTCACCAGTCTAGCTGCCGCATTCTGGATTAGTTGTAGTTTCCAGGTCACCTTCAAAGGTAGCCCCACACAGAGCGCACTGCAGTAGTCCAAGCGGGAGATAACCAGAGCATGCACCACTCTGGTGAGACAGTGGGCAGGCAGATAGGGTCTCAGCCTGTGTACCAGATGGAGCTGGTAGACAGCTGCCCCGGACACAGAATTGACCTGCGCCTCCATGGACAGCTGTGAGTCCAAAATTATACCCAGGTTGTGCAGCTGGTTCTTCAGGGTCACAGTTACCCCATTCAGGACCAGGGAGCCCTCCACACCCGCCTGCCCCCTGTCCCCCCAAAACTGAACTCCTGTCTTGTCAGAATTCAACCTCAATCTGTTAACCACCATACGTGCTCCAGCCGCTTCCAGCCACTCACACAGGACATTCACCACCTTCACTGGTTCTGATTTAAAAGAGAGGTAGAGCTGGGTATCATCTGCATACTGATGAACACCCAGCCCCAACCTCCTGATGATCTCTCCCAGAGGCTTCATGTAGAACATGGGGGACAAGCATGGGGGAGAAGACGGAACCCTGAGGTACCCACAAGTGAGAGCCCAGGGGTCTCATCCCCCCCACACCTTCTGGACACGGCGCAGGAGGAAGGAGTGGAACCACTGCATAACACTGCCCCCAGCTCTCTAGCCGGTACAGAAGGATGTTGTGGTCGATGGTATCAAAGGCCACTGAGAGATCCAGCAGAACTAGGAAACAGCTCTCACCTTTGTCCCCAGCCTGCCGGAGATCATTGACCAGTGCGACCAAGGCAGTTTCAGTCCCATGATAAGGCCAGAATCCCAATTGGAAGGGATCCAAATGGTCCCAGCATGCTTGGAGTTGTTCAGCAACCACCTGCTCAATCACCTTGCCCAAGAATGGAAGAATTGAGACTGGGCGATAGTTGGCCATATTGGCTGTTTGGAAACCATCTGGATCTCTCTGGAAGCCATTTGGATCCATTAAGTGGCAGGAGCGGACCATCTGAATCGGCTCCACCTCCCTGAAGAGGGGAAGGGTCATGGAGAAGTCCAGATGCACCAGGAAGTGATCTGACCATGTCACTTCTTTTGTTTCACTTTTACTTAGTGTCAGATCACCAACATCCATAGAGGTGAACTCCAGGTCTAAGGCATGTCCACAATTATGAGTTGGGCCAAACTTATTCAGGGACAGTCCCATGAAGACCATGCTTTCCATGAAGTCCTGAGCAGCCCCTTGTAAGGTCATGTTGGCATGAATGTTAACATCCCCTAGGACAACCAAACTAGGTGTCTCCAGGAGAACATCTGCCACGACCTGAAGCAGCTCAGGTAGGGAATTCTTGGTGCAGTGGCAAGGTTGGTACACCAAAAGGAATCCTGTACTGCCCCTATTGCCCAACTTCTAGAACATGCACTCAGAAAACTGGGTCTTCTCAACAAGACGCCTGGTGCAAACTAATGACTTCCTAAAAATCAGTGCAAAACTCCTCCCCGCCCACATGACCTGGGTTGCTGTGTGTAAGAGAAACCTGGTGGACAAGCAGCGGCAAGGACAGGCCCATCTGCTTCATCCAACCAAGTCTCTGTTACACAGGCCAGGTCAAGTCCTCCATCAACATATTGAAAAACCACACAACACTAAAACAGACCATAAAATTTGTGTAATTACCATGCAAAAATGACCAAAAAAAGTAGTTGGGGGAAGGCAAAGGATGGGGCCGCGGACACCCAGGGGTCCCTGGACCCCTAACTTGGAACCACTGGCGTACATGACTTTTGTGTACCGTATTTTTCGCACCATAGGACGCACCGGCCCATAGGACGCATCAATTTTGGGGGGGGGGGGGGGATAAAGGAAAAAAAATTATTTCCCCCCCAGGCGCTTGTGGGGCCGGCAGCGGGGAGAAGCACTCTTCTCCCCGCAGTCCGCCTTCAGATCAGGTCAGGGGACAGCGGGAAGACGCGCTGCGTCTCCCTGCTGTCCCCGGAGCTTGGGGGCAGGCAGCGGGGAGAAGCGCTCTTCTCCCCGCCGCCCGCCTTGATATCAAGTCCGGGGACAGCGGGAAGACGCGCTGCGTCTCCCTGCTGTCCCCGGAGCTTGGGGGCAGGCAGCGGGGAGAAGCGCTCTTCTCCCCGCCGCCCGCCATGATATCAAGTCTGGGGACAGCGGGAAGACGCGCTGCGTCTCCCAGCTGTCCCCGGAGCTTGGGGGCAGGCAGCGGGGAGAAGCGCTCTTCTCCCCGCCGCCCGCCTTGATATCAAGTCCGGGGACAGCGGGAAGACGCGCTGCGTCTCCCTGCTGTCCCCGGAGCTTGGGGGCAGGCAGCGGGAGAAGCGCTCTTCTCCCCGCAGTCCACCTTCAGATCAGGTCCGGGGACAGCAGGAAGACGCGCTGCGTCTCCCAGCTGTCCCCGGAGCTTGCGGGGCCGGCGGCGGGGTCTCCCCGCCGTCAGCCTCCAAACCACTTCGGGAGACAGCGGGATGGCGGCATTCCGCCTCCGTCTGTCCCCCGACCTTGTGGGGCTGGCGCTGGGGCTCTCCTGAAGCCTGGAGAGCGAGAGGGTCGGTGCGCACCGACCCCTCTCGCTCTCCAGGCTTCAGTGAAAGCCTGCATTCGCACCATAGGACGCACACACATTTCCCCTTCATTTTTGGAGGGGAAAAAGTGCGTCCTATAGTGCGAAAAATACGGTATACATGGAACCCTTGGAACAGAACCATCACATAAGATGCAACCATCCTGTGTTTTAAAAAGGAGGGAGAGATGCTTGCTCAGCTGTCATGTGTCTGATTTAGGGGCTGTAAAGGGGTATTTTGCAGGAGAGATAATAGAATCATAGAAGGCAAGTGCATACTGTGGAAATCAGGTTTCCACACTTAAAGTGGGTTGAAGGTGCTGCTATACCTTTACTTGGTGTAGTTATAGGGGAGCCTCTGGCCCTCCAGATTTTGCCAAATGACAACTCCCATCAGGGCCAGAAAATATGGTGATGCTTTTTCAGCAACATCTGGAGGGTCAGAGGTCTCCCACACCTTCCCCAGTGCAACACACCCATTTTAAAATAAGAAATGTGAGAGTTGTTGTTGTTGTTACTACTACTATTATTATTATTTCAACAACACCATAAGGATAAATTATGAAATATCCCACCCTAATCCAGAAGCTTGTGCTTAAACAATACATGCAAAATAACAACCAATTAATATAAGTTATTATCCTGGACTACTATTTGTATAGAAGGTGATAGGGAAGTTTTTAATGTGTGACATTTTGATGTATTTTTAATCCTTGTTGGAAGCCGCCCAGAGTGGCTGGGGGAACCCAGCCAGATGGGCAGGGTACAAATAATAAATCATTACTGTTGTTGTTGTTGTTAACAATTTAAAGTTAAACGAAAAGTTGTATAATGTGAGGGGAGTCCTGTATGTATTTGTGTATGTATTTCAAATTATTCCTTTTAATTGTTGTTAAATTATTTCATGGTTCTTTTTACAGTTAGGAAAGTGACAGAGAAATGCGTTGAATGTGGGTGATGAATGATTAATAGGAAGACGCGTCAACATCCCACAGGCAAACCAGGATGAAAGCTCACCGTCGTATAACTTCCCCACAAACAAATCAAAGCAAATGCTCAACAAAGACCAGCTATAGTCTAACCTCCGTGTGAGCTTTGTGTGAGCAAATCAGGTTGAGTGCCTAGTAAATAGGTTGTCTGTGGAGCAGCCCTCGTTTGCTTAAACAGAAACCCTTTAAAATCTGGGCAGCGTTTTTAATGCCAGGCTTAAATTATGCAGCGACTGCAGCGCAAGACGTTAAATATGCAGATGAGCAGATTCCTTTTGCCTCTTTTATCTTGTGGCTTCGGCACTGTCTAAAAACAGATTGCAGCAGTCATCCTCATTCAGAGGAATAAAAACAAATCAGGGGAAAGGGAGGGGAGGCTGAATTGCCAAACTGAACAAGTTTGGTTCTCAAATTCTGTCTCTCGTTTGTGAGGCAGCACCATGAATTCTAGGACTTTCGGAAACAATGAAATCATCTGTTTCCCCATCTGGGCTTGGGGTGACCCATTGAGTTCTGCTGCCTCGCTGCTGCTGCTGAAGCCTCACTTTCGGAGGTCGCACAGCTATGGCTTTTGGGTTCTGGCAAGATCTTGCAAGAGCCCTGTGAGATCTCACTGGAAGCAGACGTTTCTCCTCCGGTGGCTGTGGGGAGGGGCATCTGCAGAGACACCCCCTGGATTCTGTAACCCGAGGCAGCTGCCTCAGTCTGCCTCATGATCTGGGTCAGCTGAGAGAAGAGACAGGACATTGAACCCAAGACTTGTGCAGCAACAACTGAATGTAGGTCTCACCAAATCATAGAATCATGGAAGTGTAGAGTTGGAAGGGACCCCGAGGGTCATCTAGTCCAACCCCCTGCAATGCAGGAACGAAAGCTAAATAATCCCTGGCAGATGGCCGCCCAACCTCTGTTTAAAAACATCCCATGAAAGAGAACCCACCACCTTCTAAGGCAGTGATAGCCAAACTTGGCCCTCCAGATGTTTTGGGACTACAACTCCCATCATCCCTAGCTAACAGGACCAGTGGTCAGGGAATTGTAGTCCCAAAACAGCTGGAGGGCCACGTTTTGCCATCACTGTTCTAAGGGAATCCGTTTCTCTGTAGAACAGCGCTTATCTTCAAAAAGTTCTCCTTTCTTGTACTTGGAATCCATTGGTTCGGGTCGCAGGAACAGGAGAGAACAAGCAGGAGAGAACACGCTTGCTCCATGTTCCACGACTGGCAGCCCTTGAGATATGAATTATGGTGCTGGAGGAGACTCTTGAGAGTCCCCTGGACTGCGAGAAGATCAAACCAATCCAATCTGAAGGAAATCAGCCCTGAGTGCTCACTGGAAGGACAGATCTTGTAGCTGAGGCTCCAGTACTTTGGCCACCTCATGAGAAGAGAAGACCCCCTGGAAAAGACCCTGATGTGGGGAAAGATGGAGGGCACAAGGAGAAGGGGATGACAGAGGACGGGTTGGCTGGACAGTGTTCTCGAAGCTACCAGCATGAGTTTGACCAAACTGCGGGAGGCAGTGGAAGACAGGAGGGCCTGGCGTGCTCTGGTCCATGGGGTCAAGAAGAGTCGGACACGACTAAACGACTAAACAACAACAATCCTATCCTTTCTCAGTCTTCTGAATGTGTGGCCAACTTAAAGCTTGCTCTTACGGGGCAGATTTAGGTGGTGACCTGGTCTGCAATCAGCACGTGATGAGACCATGTCTAGCGCAGGGGCTGGAACCCTGGGACCCTCCAGATGTTGTAGAGCTCTATCTCCCCAGTCAGCTGGGCGAAGGGTCAGGGATGACCCACAGCCATCCTTCGTAGGCCCTTCTCAGACGGAGGTACCAGCAATGGAGGCAGCAGGTGCCCAGAGCACGTGCTCTGCCGCTGAGCTCAGGTCTTTATGTGGGGGCAGTGTCAGTGCCTGAGGAATGGTTTTTGGAGGGGGCTTCCTTTCTCCCTTCCCTTCTCTCTTTCATTTGTTTTATTCTCATTTTTTGCACACCTTTAAACAGAGGATCACAGCATCGTAACATCCAGTTGGGGAGGGAAAGGTTTTGTTGCGGCTGTGAGCCTGACATCTAGTGGCAAATGGCTGCATTGCCTGCACTCAGAAAATGCCCTCCACATACTTTCCAACGTTTCTCCGATGAGAATAGGGACACCCCATATTCAATAATGATGATTTTACTATTTATGCCCCACACATCTTACTGGGTTGTCCCAGCCACTCTGGGCAGCGTCCAACATATAAAAAACCCACAATAAAACATTAAAAAAAACTTCCCCGTACAAGATTGCCTTCAGATGTCTTGGGGGGTCGGATAACTCCATACCCTCCAACATTTATCCAATGGAAATGGGGGCATCCTAGGGGAAAGTGGGACATTCCGGGATCAAATCAGAAACCGGGATGGCTTCTCTAAATCAGGGGCACCCCTGGAAAACAGGGACGATCGAAGGGTCTGAGTTCATTGGCTGTACAGTCATACCTCATGTTACGTTCTTTCAGGTTGTGTCCCGCGGTGACCCGGAAGTACTGGAAAGGGTTACTTCCGGGTTTCGCCACTTGCGCATGCGCAGAAGTGCCAAATCGCGCCGCGCACCTGCGCAGATACGGCACTTCACATTGCGGGCTTTTCATGTTGCAAACGGACCTCCGGAAAGGATCCCGTTCGCAACCAGAGGTACCACTGTATACACCCCACAGGCTTAAAATTGGTAGTGACAGGAATACATTTATGCAGCAAATGTACACATGTGTAAAAAAGGCCCACTGAGGTGACCCCAATTCTCTTGCTTGCTCAAACAGAAACCCTCTTGTGCAAGGCCATCTGCCTGCGTTTCCCTTAAGCACCATGGGGAGCTGCCTTGCAGAGAGTCAGGCCACAGGTCTGCCTAATAGCTGTCTCAGTGCTTCCTATACTACCTTGACTTTCAGCAGTCTCCCTGGGGTTTCGGATTATTTCCTAGCCTTAACTGGAGGTGCCTCTGGGGGTTTATTACTAAATTTTTAAAAAGTATTTGTTGAGGTGAGTCATTAAAAATCAACAGCAGTGATGATATCTGAGGGATTGGTTGAATCATCTGATTGGAAACTTTACCCAGTTCACAAAATATTTCTATCCCAAATTTGAAGGTTCCGCTACATCTATCACATATGATAAAAGGTTCCTTTTTCACCACTACTTACTAGTGTTCACTTTCTAAACATAGCTACAGGCCACACCATTGTGTATTTATTATACATTTATTTATTTATTTTTCACTTTCTAAACATAGCTACAGGCCACACCATTGTGTATTTATTATACATTTATTTATTTATTTTTCACTTTTTAAACATAACTACAGGCCACACCATTGTGTATTTATTATACATTTATTTATTTATTTTTAAAAGTGTCATTACAAAAAATTAAGTGGTTTACAGCAATAAAAACATAAAACCATACAATGAAAACAACTGAAAAGTTAAAAGTAGTCATCAGCTATAAAACGTTGCGGAAGGATGTGTTTATAATTGCCTGCATAAGCTTGGTGGAATTTTTTCCAGCTGGCATTGACTCAGAAGGCTGACTCTCTAGTGGCAGAGTGTTCCACAGGACTAGCCCAATGACACTAAAGGCTGCTTTATTCTTGTTATCAAATGAGCCTCACCAACTCGAGGAGCAGACAGTGACACTCCTGCACATGATATCAGTGGTGGAGCTGGAATATAAGAGTTTGGGCAGCCCAGTCCCAGCGGTTCCATGGACCTCAATTGCATAGGGCTTTGTGAATAAGTACAAGAACTTTGGACCTGGCTCAGTAGTTAAGTGGGCAGCCAGTGTGGATGCTTGTGTTACGTTTCTGAGCACAATTCAAAGTGTTGGTGCTGACCTTTAAAGCCCTGACCGGCCTCAGTCCAGTATACCTGAAGGAGCGTCTCCACCTCCATCGTTCTGCCCGGACACTGAGCTCCAGCGCCAAGGGCCTTCTGGCAGTTCCCTCCCTGTGAGAAGCCAAGTTACAGGGAACCAGGCAGAGGGCCTTCTCGGTAGTGGCACCCGCCCTGTGGAACGCCCTCCCACCAGATGTCAAAGAGAACAACAACTACCAAACTTTTAGAAGACATCTGAAGGCAGCCCTGTTTAGGGAAGCTTTTCATGTTTAACAGGTTATTGTATTTTAGTGTTCTGTTGGAAGCCGCCCAGACTGGCTAGGGAAACCCAGCCAGATGGGCGGGGTACAAATAATAAATTATTATTATTATTATTATTATTATTATTATTATTACCTGTGCCCATATCTCTAGCTGCATCTGTAATTATGGCCCTGGCTTCCCAAATGGCAGGATGGTAGACTCCCCTTCCTTGGAGGTTGTAAAGCGGGGCCACCTGTCATGGATGCTTTAGTCAGCATTATTGCTTTGAGGGGGTTGGACTAGATGATCCTTGAGGTTCCTTCCAACTCCTCAATTCCATGATTCTCTGGTTCTTTTTTCCAGTGTCCTCCTCCTAACCCCATGCAGCTTGTGTCCTTGCTAGCTTTCCCCTCCTCTCCACATTCAAGGTCTTCGGTTCCTCAGGCTGCCCTCCTCCTGCCCCCACCTCCTGCCCCTCCAGCTGTGAAAAGGGTGAGCCCAGGGCACAGAGCGCTGGAGGTCCCCTCTTCACACTTTCCCAACGTCTCTGGCTAACATTTCCATTCATCTTGCATCTTCTGGTCAGCAATAGAGGTCTGCAAGGTTTTGGGTGGGGGAGCAGAACTGGAGGGAGTGGGGAACCTTTCTTCTTGGGGAAGACAATGGCAAGACCTCCCAACAACTGCAGCTGCGTTGGGAGCTGTGTGAATGCAACCGGGGGGGGGGGGTGTCGCTCTTGGCGAAAGTGGCCGAGGGGAATATCTGGCTCTCTTGGGAAGCGGGGCTGCAATTCAACTGTCACTCTGCGTCCGCCAAGAAGGGGTTTGAAAAGGCTCTCTCAGAGCAGCAAACACTTTCTAGGCCTGCTCTCCCTCCCCCGTCCGCCCCCAATCTCTCTGGGTGAATGCAAGGGCTGCCCCATTGTCTCTCCCCTCCTGTGTGTGGCCCTTTGGCAAGGGAACAATGAGCTGGTCAAAGGGCCCCGGTCGAACAGACCTTGGCTGGGGAGAATGCTTTGCGCTGGCTAAGCACCGGGCGGCAGAGACTTCGGTGGGAGCAAGCTGGCTTCCTCTGCCCGGCCTGGTGCCTCTCCACTCCG